GAGAAGATGGCTCGCTGAGGAAGATCTGGCTCGACAGGAAGGCGAAGACGCAACGTCGAGGCGAACAACAAGCATGGACCATCGACTCGGATCACCGGCCCTGAGGAAGACGAAGACGTCGAAACGTTAGCCGAAAATAAATATATTTATCAACCTCGTGCAAGCTTATCAAGAAAGAATAAAACCAAACAGTCCACTAGGCGCACATAGGATGCAGGAACACAAGGAGAAAATTTTGAAGTAGGAGTCACTATACTCCCACAGGAATCCAAGGCATCAGCGCGTCAAACTCTTGAAGCGTTTTGGGTCAATTCCAAAAATTCAGAAATAAACCGCAAGGAGGAGTGTCTTGTTATCACGCGTGACCTGGCGCCATACCTCAGGCTAATCCAATGAGCTGATACAGGCACATCCTTTCCCATGTATTACTCTGTGCGGAGGCTATCCATTAACTAACTTAAATACTTACAACAAATAAACGGTAGGTGTTTAAATGAGGCTGTTTCTTATGTGAATATAAATTTATTTGTTAAATTTTATCTACTAGGGTTTATGAAAGTGTTTGGCTGAGTAGATCGCATTCCAATTTGACCTTTCCAGGCTCCGAAGAAGGCGAAACTGCCGAAACGTCAGCTATTGTATCCTAATAAATTCTATAATAACAACCACGTGTCTGCTTATTGAAGAAAAACATCGAAGCCAATAACGTTTGATGTTTCAGGCAGTTAGGTACAATCCATTGCAGCCCAAGATCAACAATCCAGATCGGACGCGGGTGCATATGCACGCAGTTCCCGCAGCCAATATAAGCCATGTCCCATCGACGGCTGAGACATGCCATCACTCACCTTGCCCCCGATCGGTAATGCAGATAATCCGCTCCTTATAAAATCATCCTCAGCTATCCTCAATCATCCGCAGATTCATATCCTTCGTTTCCTAGCTAGTCTACGATGCGCTATCAGTAGCAGGCGGGTGTTTCCATATGCGCTCTGCTTGCAACGCCATCGGTGGCATGTACCATTCTTCCCACAATGTATGCCATGCGTGCAAGGCCGCTGACCGGGCAACCTATGTGATGTATCTGTTAAGCCGCTATAGTTGGCCTATCGGTTCTCAGCCGTTATCTTTCTGGCCCATGATATCTTAAGCAATGGTGGCACCCATCGATGCTAAAAAATCACGTTGCGGACATTGCTTTATCCACGACCATCCTCTCTGACAACGTTCCGTAGATGACTCATCAATCGTTGTCCATAGCACCGTCAATGCTCATGTGACTTACTGTCCTCATCGATCATGCTAAAAGTGCACCTCAATGCTGTAATGATGATCCTTATCTCAGCCGAATACACGACCCGTCTGCATCCCTCTCCGCCACAGCATACATGTCTCCCTCAGCCGACTTCGTGCGCGGCTTCGCCCATGGCTAACAGGCCGCTACTTTCATGTTGTTATTACTGCTATTATTATTGTATTAATGATGTGATAATGCTGCAGTGATATTATCTCGTTATTAGCTTCACTTAACTTCTAGCCATAGCACCTCATAACTTTAATTTGCGTGATTCTTATGCCAATGTTTTTCTATCGTTATTATTGTGTTGTTAATGTTGCATTTATGTATACAAAGGTTTAATTATCCACGTTTGTGGCTGGTCAATCACTGCAACATCTAAGAGACCCGCGTGGCTAACTCAACTGCACATTGCTTCTCCAACTCCAACCACTACCGTCGTTTCCTTAAGCGTTCTTTAGACAACACGACTCCGACAAAGAAACTAGCAACAGATTCCGGATATTTTCAGGCGAAACTTTTAGGATACTTAAGGTTTACCTCGCAGAGTTTCGCTCCAACTCCACACAAAAGAGTAGCATGCGACAGATTCCAGCGCTAATAAGGTTAAATAGAATTAGACCATCATTTAGCGGTAAAAAGGTTAAATAGAATTAGACCATCATTTAGCAGTAAAAGAGGAGAGTTTGCAGTAATTCTTCATCGCTTAGATGTTTAGATAGATGTCACCAAAAAAAAAACATCCTTGTGATGATTCCCTTCATCGATCGTCATCTGGAAAGGAATTCAAAAGGCAATAGCGAAAATTGTATGCCAAATTATTCCGTCTTATAGTTACTAAAATTCGTAAGTTCGTAGACACTGATGATTTGGCATCTCCTGATTCCTCAACCACTCAGGATAGACCCATCATCAGTTGTGAAGACGGACCTACAGAGAGAATTGCCTGATGATGAACCAGATTTTCATCCATTTGCTGAAAAGCATCACAACCTGTCTTATGAATAGCCGAATACTCTTGGAACGTGTACGTCATGCCGTTTTAATAGCGCGTACATAATCGAGTCCTTTGACGTTACTACCCTTAATAAAAATGTGTCGAATGACTCCGCAGTGCAAGCCATCTGCAAGTCCCTTATACAACACTACGGAGTAGTAAATATTTATGGCTTAAAGATTCAGCAAGATGGTCCCAAAAACATTATGCACAAATGAAAGCGTCGGTAATGGGACGGTGACTGGTATCAAACCTTGCCACTCTCATTCTATCCAAGATGGAAGCACCGGTAATTGACCCCCGACGAATACTCTACTATAGATATAGATGATTGTTTTGTCACCTGCGCCGCACAAGAGGAGATGGATTAATGTTTTGAATTGTTGACCCGACAGTCGGACTACATAGAACCTAACGGAGAAAAACGAAAAAAAATGGTTTCCCTTTTGAGCGTTCAAATTCATTACTCAGATGCTTTGACGGCCTGTCTTTACAAATTTCGCGGACTCCAGCGCACTTTCCATTCGCTTCTTCGCCTCGCAGTCGTCGTCTGTGCTGGTGGGTGCTAGTCCCACACAGTAAACTGTAGTACAAGTGCAGCTACGAGTATAGCTGTTTGACTTTAGTAATGAACACGTCCACCGAACGTTTTGGTGGTCGTCCAAGAAGATGCTTGCACTTCAGTGAAACCTATTCCACTGTTTTTTTCGTCCATCTTTCATATGTTCCTCTTATTATATGACGATCCATCTGGCTCCACTATAGATTCATTTTTTCCTGGATCTCGAAGATGAGATAGTTATCGAAGCACTAAGGTGATCATTTCGGCTAGAAGTAAGTCATGGCAATATTTCAGAAGACCTCATTCAAGCACTCCGTTAGTAGTGTGCGGTTTTAGTTCCAGCCCGCGTCTTTGTTGTACAACAGAGTGCTGAGAGCACTGTTTAATCGAAGAGGTGAGCGCGGATTTTCGGGTCCATTAGTTAGTCGGTGGCTTTCTTGAGCAGCCAGGATGCGGTTTCGACGTTTTCGAAAGCTTTTTCAAAGTCGGCAGAAGTGAGGACTAGGGACATATGGTATTTCCAACAAACTTCTTTGATTCTGGAGACGATTTTGATGTTGTCCTTGAAGCGAAATCCCTATGAAATTCTCGCTAGCTAAAATGTTTGTGCCTTATCCAATGCCTTTAATATACACAAACACCGACCTCAGAGGGAGGAATTCATGGTGTGTTTGTAGTAAACCGACCTTCCTTGAACACTCGGTATAAATAATCAACATCGCTGCAACATACATTGCTTCATCGATAAGCCAACACGAAGTTGTTACTAGTATTTATTCCGCTAACACTTCGACGTCTTCATCTCCCTCAAAGCCGATGATTCGAGTCAATGTACACAGTCGTTCGCCTTCTCGAAGTGGTGTGTTCGTCGTGGTATCGAGCCGGAACTTGTTCCGTAAATCATCTCTTAAATGAGGCGTACTCACCCGGCGATGCTCTCACATCGCTGCTCTTGTTGATACTCGTTGTTTGGTGGCAATAACTTGTTTTTTTTTCAGGACAATCCATCTTACAGAAGTCGCTACCGTTGTTAGCTAGCACACTGCTGCTTCCGGACATTCACGGTTGTGGTTCTTCAGGTTTATTTTTCGCAAGCGGGGATTTGAGGGTCTAGAGGAGGACTGTAGAATGAAAAACGGTAGTATATAACATTTATGTTATCAATTCCATACTATGGCAGGAAGTTTTAGTTACCCATCTTCGTTCTTCATGGCTGGCCGCGCAACATTGCAATCGCACAATTCCCTGTGGAATTTTTTCAGACTGGTTACTCTCCGTGCAGTTTCTACACATTCTTCCGCTTGTACCAATGTAGACCTTGTTGCAAAGCTCTTCTACAACTGATATTTATTACTAGCCGTATTAAACGTCTTGCAGTAGAGCCAAGCTTCAGTTTCCTTTTCCTCTTGAGCAATTCTTTGATGGCAAAGGATGTGCGATGCGATCTTCCTGCTTGAGGAACTGGGGTGAATTCGGCACAACCTGTAAGTGTTTTTACAAGCAGCTCGTAGGCTTCGGTCTGGTCTTTTTAATCTGCCAGTTATGTTTAGATAGAATTTCGTTCAAAACTTTCTCGTAATTTACAGTTGAACTTTTTCTACATGGTAAATGAGATGAATTCTTGTAGCTTATGACTAAATCGACCCTTGGCGCGAAGAAGGCGGTGACTGGAGCCAGTAGAGAATGACAGGACTATCGATTTATCAATTAGGACCATCTTCTGTTCCTCAGAATATGAACAGAGAATATCTCCAAATGAGTCGCGCCGTGAAGAGACTTCAATGTCAAGAGGCAGCTTTGCTTCTCCTGGAAGAACGAGTTTCCATGGAAAATGTATACTGCAGAGACGAGTTCTGCAGAATGGTTTCAATCCTCATTTCTCTCTCCAAATCCAAATTTTCCGATTATGCATTCGCTATCGTTGGCCCTTTCTACTCTGACTTTGGAGTCTACGATAGAAATTTTTTAACACCGCTTACCATTGCAAACAGTTTCCTCTAACTATTAGTAGAATGCATGATATCCATACTCTTCAGTTGCATCACTGATTTGCAGTGATGTTCTTATGACGCGTTTGTCGAAGATAGAGGGCAGTTGTGCGTGTGGAAAGGATCTCGTATGAATCAGCGAAATGGCCAGTGGATCTGTAGAGGACAAAGCCTACGCCTCCGACATTTTGTAAAGAGACCTTTCCTACGCGGATGACAACGATCACGTTGTTTAGTCTGCGGTATGTTGATCTATCCGCTTTGTTTCTTGAAAGGCAGTCACATGGAATTTAATGCGATCTGCTGCTTCAAATAGGGCGTGAACATCGGCACCTGAGGAGAGGGTTCTGAGATTATACGCGCAGAGTGAGCAACAACCTCCTTGGTGTTTGTGGTTCAGCGAATCCGGTTCTAGGGATGTTCTGCGAAACCCAAGATTTTTCGACTTCTCACCGGTCGTTTCATAGCCTGACGCCATAAACGGGGCCATCCAGTGTGCGGGATGCTAAGAGTGGTAAGGGGAATTTGATATCAAATACTGTTAAGCTGTTGTAAGTCAGCTGCCATTGGAAATGAGTTATCGTTGTTTTTCTACTGAGGTTATGAGTTATGTGGCTGACTAAATTGAACTCAACTTGACCTTTCGAGACTCTGAAGAAGATTCAATTCGTCTAACATTAGATATTGTAAGCAAGTACTTACTCGATACTTGATACTTGAATGGCCCGTCCTCACTGGTTGTGAGGCATAACCTCCATTTTTCGGAGACTTGCTGGTTAAGCCATTGTGGTTCCTTGAATTCCCAAGGTCAGCCTGACCAAAGTCTGCCCCAGGTCTTCAACACCACAAGCAGTGGCAGCCCTTGTGGATCAGAGAGAGATTTGCCATCATGCAATTTTGATACCAGGACAGTGGTAGACCCTGGTATTGCTTTACTCGTAGCTAGGTTTCCTCATGAAAACCCCAGGCTTCTCCTCGGTTTGGGAGACCCTGCCAAGGAATGAATTCCCCTCTGTGCATCGTAGTCCGACTCCCAGGGACGCCTCCCAGCCACGACAAGACGGTGAACCATTGGAAGGATTGTAAATAAGTACTATAAGAAAATCTCATAATATGTGTATCAAGAGAATAGCGAAATGTTCAACATAGAATGATTTATGCCCAATCTCTGGTCCCTCACCAAAAAAAAATTCTTTAGCTATGTAGTAGATTTTGAAACCACGGTTTCATTCCCTTAATTCCATAAAACTTCACAAAATGCTCCTACACCGACTTTACTTTTCGAGTTCCCCAGAAATTACAGATGTTTTTCTGAGTCTCGAAGGCAAACGCACGTTGTCCAATACTCACAAAGAGTTGATAACTACAGGAAGCGAAGAAGCGTCCACTCTTCTGTTAAGTGAGGACTTCCGATGTTTGAGTAGTCACGAGGGTAAATAATGCATTAAATGCAAAAAATGACCAACAGACGTGAAACGTCTCCTGAATCAGGAGAATTAAAACAACAGAAGTTGTTGAAACGTCAAACCACTTCTTCGCATTATGGATGTTTTTCAAAGCTCAATACGGTGTCATCATTTGCAGTTTTCGAATCATAGAAATCTTCCCACCTGTTCGCGATTTTACAGAGAAAACAGTTCTGTGAAGTTTCGAAAAATAATAGGCGTTAGTCAAGTCTTTCATGTTGACCAAATCAATCGCTTTAATCCTATCAACAAATTCCAGCACCTCAATTTTTTAGACTGAGTTTCACCATTTCTTAGCAAAGGTGTTGAGACGCAGTGAAATAAGAACGAAAAACGAGATTTCCATGAAATCGTGATACCTAACGAAACAACTAAAGCTGTTGTCGCCAGATTCCAACTCGGCCATGGAGAATTCGATGCTGCTTTCATACCAGATAACGGTTTCGATCCCATGTCGTCTCTCCGATAAATTATGACAATCATCAATGATAAGCATAAAAAATTTGTAATAAACACAATCGAGTTGCTACTAAATTTTTTATTCATGAAAGATGACGTTTCCGAGGATTTCGCCTTCTTCAGATGTCTGAACACTGAGTCCCAGGCTCTACAGAAGGCGAAAACTGTCAAGACGCAAGCTTTTTCAAATAACGAGTACGGCAACGACCTCGTTTAAGCTTATCAAGAAAATAGTGAAATGTTCATGAATGCCGAGTGTAATAGAAAGTCGATGTTGGGAACCAAAATTTCAGCTCAACCTGTCTACGTGCACATTTCATTAGCTTGAAATAAACTCAAATGCTTGTTATCAACACTGCAAAGAGTAGAGGAAAAAGTGGAAAAGGAGAGATGAAGGACATTTGAAAAGGGTAATCGGCCAAATGTTCAGCGATATCGTAGAATGAAAACTAACGAATTTCCCATCGTCGGCGAAACTATTATACTGATCGGGAAATTCCACCTATACACAACAGACTCTGTATTTGAAAAGCATTTGATTAACCGTTGATGAAAACTGTAGAA